ACCCCCGCTCATGCCCTCACCCCCCTGGTGTCTGTGTCCATTGGTTAGGCTTATATCCATGCATACAAGTTCTTTGTTTGATCTCTCCTCCTTACCCCCATCCTCCCTATCTTCCCTCTGAGGTTTGACTGTCTCATCAATGCTTCTCTGTCTCTGGATCTGTTTTTTTTTTCTAATTGATTTTTTTACAGAGAGGAAGGGAGAGGGACAGAGAGCCAGAAACATCGATGAGAGAGAAACATCGATCAGCCGCCTCCTGCACACCCCCCACTGGGGATGTGCCCACAACCAAGGCACATGCCCCTGACCGGAATCGAGCCTGGGACCCTTGAGTCCGCAGGCCGACGCTCTATCCACTGAGCCAAACCGGTTAGGGCTGGATCTTTTTTTGTTCATCGGTTTATGTTGTTCATTATATTCCACAAATGAGTGAGAGCATGGGATATTTATCTTTTTCTGACTGACTTATTTTGCTTAGCATAATGCTGTCCAGTTCCATCCATGCTGTTGCAAATGGTAAAAATTCCTTCTTTTTTACAGCAGCGTAGTATTCCATTGTGTAGATATACCCCAGTTTTTTAATCCTCTCATCTGCTGATGGGTACTTAGGCTGTTTCCAAATCTTAGCTATGGTAAATTGTGCTGCTATGAACATAGGGGTGCATATATACTTTCTGATTGGTGTTTCTAGTTTCTTGGGATATATTCCTAGAAGTGGGATTACTGGGTCAGATGGGAGTTCCATTTTTAGTTTTGAGGAAACTCCATACTGTTCTCCACAGTAGCTGCACCAGTCTGCATTCCCACCAGCAGTGAAAGAGGTTTCCTTTTTCTCTGCATCCTTGCCAGCACTTGTTTATCCTTTCAAAGAACCAGCTCTTGGTTTCATTGATCTTTTATATTGGTTTTTGGTTTGTTTGTTTTTGGTCTCTATGTCATTTATTTCTGCCCTGATCTTTATTATCTCCTTCTTTTTGCTCACTCTGGGCTTTTCTTGTTGCTCTCTTTCTAATTCTTTAAGTTGTAGAGTTAGATAATTTATAACCATTTTTTTCTTCTCTTTTGAGGTAGGCCTGTAGAACTATAAACTTCCCTCTCAGGACTGCTTTCACTGTGTCCCATAGATTTTGGATTGCTGTGTTTTTATTGTCATTCATTTCCAGGATGTTTTTAATTTCTTCTTTGATCTCTTTGGTAACCTAATCATTATTTACTAGCATGCTATTCTGCTTCCTAGTGTTTGAATTTTTTGATTTTTTTTATTGTAGTGTATTTCTAATTTTATGCCATTGTGGTCTGAGAAGATGCTTGATAAGATTTCAATCTTCTTGAATTTGGGGAGACTTTGCCTGTGACCCAATATGTGGTCTATCTTTGAAAATGTCCCATGTGCTCTTGAGAAGAATGTATATTCCGTGGCTTTCGGGTGAAATGTTCTGAAGGTGTCAATTAATTCCATCTGATCTAGTGAGTCATTTAGGATTGCTGTTTCTATGCTGATTTTTTTGTCTAGAGGATTTATCCAGTGATGTCAGTGGGGTAGTTGTTCAGGCTACCCCCTCTGGGCTCAGCCTCTCGTGGTTGTGATCTTAGATCTAGAATCCCCTGCCAACAGCAGCCCTGTAGATTTCCTTTCCACAGTCAGACACTACGCTTGTCCCAAGGGACGCAGCTTTGGTGCCGTGAAGCTTCCTTCTGACCCCCTGTGCTTGGAGGTCTCATAATTCTCTCCAGCCCAGATCCCTGATTTTACTGTTCTCCAGGCATCGGTGGTGGGAGCCTCTCCTGCCTCCGCGGCAGGCAACACTAAGCTTAAGCTGCAGTCGGACATCCCCTGAGGGCTCCCGGGCTGCCAGAGGGATGCCTGACTGCCAGCTTAGGCCCGATCCCCCAGGGAGAGGGACATCCCCCAAGGGGTCCTGGGACTGCAAGAGGGCACAGGCTGTGCTGAGGAGACCGCCCATCCCCCCAAGTTCACGAATTTTTGTGCACTGGGCCTCTAGTCCTATCTAATAATAGATGAACATGGTAATTGACCATACCTTCACTACGCCTCCCATTGGCTAATCAGCATGATATGCAAATTAACCGCCAACAAAGATGCCCTTCCGGCTGCGAATTGTCTCACCAGTCGTGTCTACTTTGCTGATTCCAGGTGGATGTTATTCAATGTATTTGCTCCTTCTATTTGCTCTGGGATAGGGCTCAGGACACGTCTGCCTATTCCGCTGCCATTTTGTCTCTCCCTCTGATCTTTGATTTAAATATTAAAAGTGATAGGACACTAATTTAAAAGATCATTAGCTTGATTATCCAAAGTTGTATGGATCAGCAATTACATAAGTTAAATGTATTTTAAAGATTAAATTATAATCTTTACTGCATCCATTTTCAACACCCTACTTCTTTAAATATTTGAAGGTAGGGAATTTTCTAAAGTTATTTTTTTCTCTTTAAGCCTATTCCAGTAGAGATGTTAAGGAATTCCAGAAACTATAAAACATGCACATAATAATTATTTATTTAAGACCAGAGGGCCGATGCACAAAATCTGTGCAAGAATAGGCGTTACTTTCCCTGGCTGCTGGCACCAGCTTCCCTCTGGCACCCAGGACCCAGGCTTCCCTCCAGCCGCCGGCACCTGGGACCTGGACTTCCCTCCGGCAGGCACCTGGGACCCAGGGTTTCCTCACAGCCCCTTTGTCTGGAAGGTCGTCCAGTCTAATTAGCATGTTACGCTTTTATTATAGATTTTTCAAAGATAAACAGAAACTGATTTGTCTGATTTAATGGCATTGGGAGGAGCAGTCAGCTTAATTGTCACTTCCTTGATGATTACCTTTCTTTCCTCTCTGACTGCTTTTCAGATTTTGGCATTTTGTAGTTTAAATTACGAATTTCTTTTTATCTTTGAGGTTCATAAATCTGTGAATTGGTGTCATTTATCAGGTTCTTACTCATCATCTCCTTTAATATTACTCCTGTCCTATTCCTTCGCTCCTTTCCCTTTTAACTCCTATTACATACTAGAGGTCCGGTGCATGAAATTCATGCACGGATGGGGTTCCTGGGCCTGGCCAATGATCAGGGCCTATCAGGGCCATCTCGCCCAGTCCCGATCAGGGCCGGGCCAGTTGGGGCCTGCTGGCTGCTGGCCAGGGCCTTCTTGATGGGGTGGAAGGGATGGGGGGGGGGGACTGCGGGAGGTTGGCTGTGGGAGTGCACTGAGCCCCAGGGAGAAGCTCCTGCGTTGAACATCTGCCCCCTGGTGGTCAGTGCGCATCATAGCGACTGGTCGACCAGTCGTTCCAGTCATTTGGTCATAATGGTCACTTAGACTTTTATATATAGAGATGTGCTAGATCATCTCACAATACTTTCTATTCATTTTGAGCTCTTTTACTTTTACTGTGTCTTTGGGCTGCAATCTAGGTAATTTCATCATCTGTCTTCCATGTCAGTATTTATCTCTTTACTCCTGATAAATTTAGCCATTGAGAACTTTTGTGGGGATTTTTTGTGGTTTTTATTCAGTTTTGTTTGACTTTTTTCAAATTACAAAATATACATAGAGAAAAGTACATAAAAATGTATGTGAACCATTTAATATACTTATTATAGAGAGAATACTATGTAGTTAATCACATCAACAAAATGAACACTACTAATTTCCTTTTTCCGCAGGACTTTTATTAATCATATCAATGATCAAATATTAACCATATTATATATT